CGATTCGATTTCATCGCGATCCAACCACCTTGCGCGCAGCCGGATCCGAGCGCACGCGTTGTGTCGTTTTCCTTTCTATTTTTCTTTCGCGTCCTCGCCTTTTCGGCTAGGTCGCGCACATGTGAATTGGTCGCGTTAACCGAATTCCCCTTCTCCCTTTCTCCGATTCTCGCAGTCGGACGACCTGCCCACGTTTCCGGAGGACTCGAACGCGCATACGCGAAACCTGAGAAACGACGTGGGCGTAGGGCGTAGGGCGCAGGGCGCAGGGTTCAACTGTCGCGGGATCGATACCGGAGCAGTTCGCGAAACGTCCCTCGTGTTTCGTTAAAAGCGCTGGGTACGAATCGAATCGAATCCTCGAAACATGTTCTCGGTCTGCTCGCTTTTATTCGGCCGTTGCTGAATTATCGCTTAGCCTCGAACGGCGCGCGTCACCAGAACGAACATCTCGAGAAGATGGTCCACGCCGAAACCGAGCCGTTCGTAGCGGCCTCGAAATACCCTCGAAGAATCGTCGCGGCCCGTCTCTCGATCTCCTTGATCGACAGCTCGTTCGCCAGGGCGATCGCAAGGTTTCCCAGAGACGCGATCAATCTGCCGACCACGCTGCCGGCTTCGCCGACGGAGATCTCGATGGATCTGCGAAAAGAACGAAACAGTTTTCGAATTGGACGACCGTTCGAGATTGGTTGGAGTTTCGTTGGAACTCGCGTACCCGATGTCCTGCAGCTTGAACTCCCTCAGAACGAACTTGTAACCGGTTCCGTGGCGGGCGGCATCGGCGACCGCCACGTCGATGCCGAGGTTCGCCAAAATCGAAGTCGCCTCCGCGTGTATTCGCCCCTGTTCTCGCAGAAACGTCGTTTCCACGGAGTAATTGAACGAAAACTGAAAAGAAACGAGTAACGGCAAACGCAAAGGGAACACGGAAACGAAAACGGAAACGGAGGAGGGAAAAGCGTGTTTCTCTCGACGTTGTTTTCATTACCAGCAAGCTGCTTATCTCCACGATCGCGTCGACGGGCATCGTTTTATCTTTAAAGGTGCCGATAACCGTGCCCACGTGCTCCAATTCGGATAAACGTTGCAGCAGTCCGGAGAAGAAGCTGTACGTCAGCGAGACGTACGTGTCGGGCAGGACTTTTAACCGCTGAAACGAATATACCCCGAAATCGTTCGATCGGATCTCTTCCCTCCGGCGAAATGGTCGCGATCCGATACCGCGATCGTCCAGCGTTCTCCGAGCGGAAAACGAATCGAGGAGAGCACGGAAATCGGTTGCGACTTCCGCGAACGAGGCGCCGAAAGCGAACGTTCTTCTCCACCGAGAAAACGAATCAGCGGGATTTCAGGAGCATCCGTCCTCGCCTTTGTTCGCTTTCGTTCGCTTTCGTTCGCTTTCGTTCGCTTTCGTTCGCTTCCGTTCGCTTCCGTTCGCTTTCGTTCGAGGTCGATCGGTCGCAAAGACGATTCGTTTTCGCGCTGCGGTCTGCCCGCCGAAACTTTCGATCTCGATCTCGGATCGCGCGACGTCGGCCTCCTCTGCTGCACTCACGAGCGACAAACTTTGCCGAAATTCCGGAATCGGCAATGGATCCAACTGGCACGCGAGGATCAACTTGGACGCGATAGGAAGAAATTCGCCGATCAAGTCCGTTATGTCCATACGGAGTTCCTCTTCCTCCTCTTCTTCCAGCCGTTTCCGTTCATCCGGATGGATCTCCCAACACGTATCCGCCTTCCCGAAATGGTCGATCTCGCCTGGAAAGTCGCGACGAAAGTCGGCTCGAAAGTAGCCTCGAAAATCGCATGTTTCCACGGGTCTGATAATCGGTTCGAGCGGAAATACGACAGAGGAGACGAGAGCGCGATGCAACAAGACAACGACCAACAGAGAACGCATTTGTCTTCCGCACGGTAAAACGACACCGATGACTGTGCATCGTCCGCTAACGACATGGTTTTTAACGTCGCGATCATTAGCATTTTTATCCGCGAGAACCCAATATGAATACTTATCGTTCGAACGCGAAGTACGAACCGGAACCGGGACGCGTCATCCGCTGAAACGAACGAAACGAACGAAACGAACGAAACGAACAACGATCGACCAACTTTATCGACCCAAAAGAGCGTGGTCGGTTACGTGGTGCCCTCGCGGCGACGCGTGGCGATGGATCATCAACGGCACGGGTAGCAGCTCGATCGTTCCACGTTAGCGATGTCTTTCGATCGATCGCGTTCCCCGGAAAACCGTTTGCTCGTTCTTCTCCGACAAAGAGAATAGAGAAGAGGAAAGATCGATCGAAAGATTTAGAATCGAAGAGTAAAGGAATAGGTGGGAAATCGACATGGCTAAGGTTCTAGGCTGTCGCGACGGGTACGACACGCGCCGCTGCCTTGGCTCTGCCTCGGTACGCCTAGATAAGTGTTCGATGACGCGCTCGCTTCTTGTTTACAATAACAAGAGCAAAGTTGTATCTTAGGTTCGGCGTACGAGCATTGTTTTCGTTCGGCAGTGCGCGTTATCGTTGCTCAACCGAACCTTGGGAGGAACGAGCCGCGATCTCGCTCGTTTCCCCGATGTTTACTAGCCGCGCGTCCGGTGACGCGATATCGAGTGAATAATCTTGTTTGTTCGACTCCCACTTCCGAACAACAATCGGGGATGCTTCGCCGCTATTCGTTACGATTATGACGCCGCCGTTGCGAAATCGGTCTCTTTTTGAAAGAGCGCGCTCTCGAATCGGGCCAACTTCGTTGCCACGAAACAAACAACAGCACGTGCGACACCTCCGCTATTATTATACCCCTCGAAACCGTGCAAACAACCGGAAAGGTTACGAGGATTTCGGCCTCTTTCGTCCCTTCGGACGCGTCGACTCTGCTGGAACGAGACGAGAGTCTTTTCTCCGGGCGGTTCCTTCTCGCGCCTTTTGCACCGTTGACGCGCGCGGCCCTATCGAGCAAACAACGAGGATCGAGACGAAACACGGAATCCTCGTGCTCCAGTTTGTCCGTCGTTTCGGCTCGAAGGAAGCGCCGGAGCGCGCGGCATGCTCGACGGCCGATCTGGGTCAACGATCTTGAGCGACGTTAAGCGACTCGACTCGCCACCGTTCTAGGCGGAAGGCGGAAAAGAAGACGGATGGTCGAAGCGGAAAAAGGGGGCTCGGCTGTTGGTCCGAGGGTCGTCGACCAATCGGATCGCGTTTGCCCGCGAAAACATTGCTCGCGCGTTTTCTCCGTCTCGATTTCGACGCTGCGAATTCCGTCTTCCCCCCTGCGCGTTTATGCTCGCCGATAATAAACAATGCCATCGAAACTCGGGGCTCTCCGCTCGGAGGCTCAGTTGGACTCGATAGTTCGCGCGGAGTAGACGGACGCGACCGACCGAGTTTTCTTCGCGACTCCGTGCGCGCGAAATATTCTGAAAGTTGGGTGCTAGCCTGCGCGACGCGTTCGCACCTCGAACGCTCGAACGCTCGAACGCTCGAACGCTGTACGCTCGAGGCGGACTTTGCACGCGCCTGCGACCGTTTCTTCGCGGAACTCTTCTCTTCGGTTTGGTAAGTGAAACACGGAGGATCGGCCGGGATCGGGCTTCCGGATCGCTTCCGCGGACGTTCGACCGACCCGAAAGCCAACGAGAGAAATAGGGAATGGTAAACGGGAAGTCCATTGCGCAATTCCGTCGTCCTTCGCGAGGTTCGGTTGGCACTGCTCGCGTAAACTTCATTCAGCTGCTTCTCTCTTCGTCTCTCCGTTTGTCTGCGTCGGTTGCTCTCTCTCTCTCTCTCTCTCTCCGTTAGTCTTATTTCGGTCCATCGAGCGAAGCTCGCGGCAGTTTCCGCTGAGATGTTTTCCTTCCTGACTATTCGGAGGTTGTTGTTCCGATCGGTGGGTTCGCGCGCCGCTGGCGAACCGAGAGCGGAAGTCGAGCATTCGAATCGCGGACATATCGCGGTTGCTCGTCGGTGAACGACGAACCGGTATCGTCCACTGCGCACACCGCCTATACAGAAGCGGCGAGCCGCTGTTGCGAAATCGGATTCGCGCGGACATCGTCGATGGGTTTCGATTTCGAGGCTCCAGTCGATGCCGCGATTCACGGGAAACCGGATAGTTGGAAGTCTCGCGTAAAGGTACGCGGTGAAATGGCGCGATTCCTGCATATCTAGCTGGCGATTAAACGTCTCGCCGGCGTTGCATAATTTTTCGCGTGTCGTAACGCCGTGTAACGCGGTGGTTACGATACGACGGTGCGCGAATCGATTCGAGCTTGCCGAAAAGAAAAGACGACGACGCAGTATTCTGAAATGCCCTCGCGTGACATACCTGAAGCACCGTCACTCCGCGGAAGCGTAATGCCATCCACGGTGCTGACTAACGCCGCCGTTCTCGTCGAACGGCGATTTCTCTGTAGTTCGATAATGCTGTATACCTCGCCTCGCCACGACTCGACTCGCGATTACTTTCGACGCGATCTCGATTGCATAAGCGTGCCATCGAGATAAGTGACCAAGTCGAGAACCGAGAGAGAAAGGTCGTAACCGACGACCTAAACAGGCTTTTACCGTTTGAAAGTTTCGCTAGGCGGAGGAAGATCGGCAAAGAAAACGAAATCGATGCTGCGCCGATCGACGATCGACCTACCAACCGCTGCAGAGGGCAACTCGGAGGAACGTGGATGAATTGGCTTTTCGGTGACGCAACGTAATCGACGCGATGAATTTTTCCGAAAAAGATCCTGCGGTTTTCCGCGCGCTGCCGCGCTGCTGCGCTGGCTCGAGCTACGCTCGATCTTGGCGATTCGCCGAACGCCGGACGATTCGAAAACGCGCGAACCAGCGACACTTTCTACGCGCTCTTCCTTTATTTCCAATCCGCTTCCGCGAACTTTAAGCGTTCCCCTTCCGACTCGCGACGAGGAGGATCCCAAGAACGCGCGCGAGTCCGCGTCCGCGAAGAAAACCGATTCGGTGGAAAAACATGGGAGAACCGACGATCGGATTTCTTGAAATTCGTCCAACGTTTGAGCAGTTACGCAAGCCCGAAACCGCTCGCGCTGAGCGATCACCTGAAGAAATTTGGCCGAAATTATCGAACGTCGCCTCGCGTCGCGACAAAATACGACCGCCCGGCAAACCGAATCGCGAATCCTTGAACCTCCGACGCCACTCCCGGAAATTCCCCAAAGTTTCGCGCGGCCGGTTCACCGGTCCGTTTCTGACGAAACCGATATCGAACGGTTCGCAACAGAAGGAAGGTGTACGCTAATGCGAATCGTAAACTCGTCGCCTCCGATTCAATAACGCGATACTACCGCGTCCCGCTTGCGTAACCGTAAGCTCCTCTTTAATTTCGCGGTTCTACGATTTCGTCGGCATTGAAATCCGACGCGTGACGTTCGCTCAAATTGGATTCGCTTCGCGTCATTCCGGATCGTTGTCGTTCGTTCGGTCGGAAATCCGTGGGAATCGATATCCGAAAAAGGAAAAGGAAAAGGAAAAGGGAAAGGGAAAGAGAAAGGAAAAGGAGAAGGAAAAGGAGAGAGAGAGAGAGAGAGGGGCCTAGGTTTCCGCTGCGTCACGACGAGTTGCGTATCGCGTATCGCGATGCCGAAGGTCCGATAATCGAACGAAACGATACGGAAAACGGCCGGGGCGTGCGTTCCGATGAATCACGAGCGGACAAAGTTCGATTCCGAACGGTGTGGCGACTAATTCTGCTTCGCGTTTCGGTTGCAGGTCTTGGGCTTTCGAAGAGCGCGGTAAACGAGGCTTCTGGTCACGTGACGGGACGCGTCTTATCGAGCGACGCGCGACGCGGCCGGGATTGGCCGAGCCGGGACACGTGACCCCTCCTAACGTCAACTCGGATCACCGTCTGCTGGTTCTCGCTCGGATTTCTCAGCGAACCTTCCAGGAACAAAGGATACGCTTTCGTTTCGGTCCGGATCACGAATTTCTTCCCTCCGAAGGTGTTCCGGTTTCTCGTACGAGCGTCGATTCGCGCGCGTACGCTGCGAAATACGGTGCAGCGAGAAGATACGCCGCGAGAAATCAATCGTCGCTGTTTTCTCGAGATATTTCGCCGGCAATCCGTTGACAGTTCGCGACCGTTTCGAGTCGATGACGCGCATCTTTATCGTGGAACCTTTCAATTTCGGGAACAAAGTTCGTCGTAGTCGCGCCAGTCTCATTGTTCTCGACGATCGGTCGTCCCGTTGCGCGACCGCGAGTGAACGTCGTCGTCGAAATTCGACGTCCCGACGTGGTTAAGTGGATCCTCGAGCCCGACGCACGGTGAGTCGTGCGTCTCGCGTACGAATCTTGCCGTATCTTTCGCAAGGGCACGTCCGTTCGGTTCCGCGGCAAGTTTGAACCTGTTCGAACGCGCTTTCGACGCCGAGACGTCGAGACGCACTGAGATTTTCCGTCAGGATCACCTTACCCGAACGAGTTCCGTCAGGAGTTGATACAAACATGTACAGCATGAATTACATCGGCAAGTTTATCAGTAATTTTCGAGATTTTTACAATGAGATCAACGCGGCGACGCTTACCGGCGCCATCGATGTCGTCGTCGTTGAACAGCCGGACGGATCGTTCACCTGCTCGCCTTTTCACGTACGTTTCGGAAAGCTCGGCGTGCTGCGTTCCAGGGAAAAAGTGGTAAGTTTCAATGGGTCTATTAAAGGCTTTTCTCTATCCTCTCTTGTCCTACCAGACCTTTTTAACTACCATTCTCTTTCCAGGTGGACATCGAGATAAACGGTGATCCGAGACAGATTCACATGAAACTGGGAGACTCCGGGGAAGCTTTCTTCGTGGAAGAAGTCGGATCGGATGGCTCTCCGACCGACACGGAAATCCCACCTCATCTGGCATGCTCCCCTATTCCAGACGACGCGTGTTTCCCACCATCCAGATTCAATGTTCTCTCCGATTTCCCTCGAGACCAAAGGGACAAGATCCTCGTCGAATCGGTTATGTCCATAGAGAAAGAAAAGTGGGAGCAGATGTCAGCCTTGCCTCCGGATCAGAGAGAAAGGTTTCTGATCGAACAGTTCTCTGATCTTCCTGCGGAACGCAGAGAGAAATGGCTTCAAATCGCTTCTTTGACTACAGAGGAGAGGGACAAAATGTTCAAAGAAAACTTTGCCAACATGTCCACATTGCAGAAACAGAATATGATTCGCGAACAATACTCGGCTTTGAAAAACGAAGACAAGGAAAGATTGTTCAAAGAAAACTTTCCTGAATTGTCTGCCGAACAGAGACACAAGTTCGAGATAGCTGTGCTGGACGACTGGAAAGAGAAAGAGGAGGAGAAGCCGGATCTTCTGAAGAACGAGGAAGAAATCTTCGATATGGAGGGCATAAACGAGGATGAGACTCATCCGACCACCGCGTCGACACCTAAATCGTTCGTAGCTGTAACTTCGTCCGACAGAATTCGTAAAATCAGCGTGGTCAAGAACGACTTTAGACCGATCACGGACGACGTGCAAAGCAGTTCGAAGGAAAAGTCCAGCGACGAGTCGAACCTCTCGTTGAGCAAGAAAAACTCCAAAGACGAGAATATCGAGGAAACTAAGAACAACAATTCGACCAAGAGGAAGCGAAAAAGGAAGAGTATCATGCGAAAGAAGGGATCCCACAGGAAGACTAGCAACGGCAGTAGCAGTCAAACCGAAATGAGCGAAAACGACGTGTCCGTTCCCGATGAATCGCTCGGTGAATCTGTAAGTACCGTGCACGTTGAAACATTGATAACACAGATATCGCGATATCCGGAGTTGCGTACTAACACGACACGTACGTTGGACGAAAGATGTTGAAGGGACCGAGTCCGGTTGCGGAGTTGGAAAAGAAGAACGCGTCCGCCGAGCCTGCTCCTTCGATGCAGGAACCATCGGAAACGCGACCCGAAACGGATTTCCATTTTTTCAGTGACACCGAAGTTACCAAGTATGTTACAGCGTTGCAGCTACCACGTCATATATTTATTCATAGAGGTACCATGTTATAGTAATTTCCCGTAATTATCCGCGTCGTGTTTCGCCAGGAATCAAGATTCTAGACCCTGCTCGCCGGTTCAGTCGGACACGGAGTTCGAAATGCGAAAAATCACGCAAGACAGCACGGAAGCAGAAGACAAAAGTCTTCAGCAGAGCTGGAGATGGGGTGAATTGCCGAGTTTACCACCGGAAACGACACACTCGTCTCACAGAAATTCATTGAATTCATCGATCGCCGCCAATCAGCAGAACAATAGTTAGTAACGTTTCCCTTCTTCTCGTCTAATTTGCATCGTCGATTCGCTAAACTGCTTGTTCGATGGTAGCCGAGGCGCATCGATCCATGCTCAGCGGAATGTTCTCGTTCATGAAGAAGACGTCTCGCGTAAGACACAATCCAGAATCCGAGGGGATCTATCTGAGCGACATTAACGCCGACGAACTGGATCCGGAAGTTGCAGCACTCTACTTCCCTTCTTCTCACAGAGGTCCGACAACCGTCAAAGGTATATGGAAACGAAAAGATTTCTCCTACTCGCGAATGTCCTTTCCTCCGTGTCATCTTCTATTTTTACGTTCAATTCCAACGGTAGCATCGTGACGCTTTTTCGACGATCGTTTCTCCGACTGGACGTTTCTTTAAACGTTTCGAGTAAAAATAATCCAAGATGCATGTAACCGACCTTAAACCGTTAACACGCGATAAGGTTCGACGACTTTTTCATGCGTATACGGTTCTCGCGTGCAACATTTATTTGCGTTACGCGCAAAATGTTCCGCGTAAAGTTAAAGTAGCATTGTTTCTAGACGGGAAAGTTGTGGACGAAGAAGATACCGAGTCAGGCAATGGACCGAGTTTACCTCAAAGTCCAAACAGCGTCATGGGAGCTATCGGAGGGCCAAAGTCGTTGGATAGCGACTTCGAGGAACCAAAACATACTATATTTGACAACAACATGGATATTAGTTTGTCTCTGTGCGGTGGTTTGGATTCCGAGAACGGTCCATCCAAAGAAGCTTTCCATCAGAATTTGCTTCAATTCGAGGATATCTGTTCGGATCCGAAATTATACGAAAATCCGAATCTAGTTGTAAAGATTAATGGAAAGTTTTATAATTGGACCACCGCTTGTCCGATCGTGATCACTTACGCTGCTTTCCAAAGACACTTACCCCAAGCTACGATAGAAAATCTGTACGCTCAATGTATGCCCTTGCCTATGCACGAAGAAAAGAAGCAGGAGAGCAACGGCAAGCCGGAAAGTCGCAGCGGTTACAGTTCGTGGTTCTCGTGGAGACGGTCCGCGCAACCTTCCAAGAAATCTCAGGAACTTAGTCAAGGTAACGACAGCTTACCTTACAATTTCGAACGCACACGCGAGTGTAATCGAAATGTTACAGTTGACGGAGGAATGACCAATCCGCAATCCTCGGACCACTTGGTCGAGTCCAAGGAGAGTACTCCGATCGACGAGACGTCCGGCGTAGATGCGAAGACCGATCAACGCATGGATCCCACGCCGGCGGTCGAGATAGGAGAGGAATGCGCGAAACCGATGGACAATTTCGTCGAGACGGAGAAAAATCGGGAAAGGGAGGTCGAAGGTTACAGCGGCAGCGAGGATTCCGATAGCAATCAAAACAAATCGCAAGGAGTCAAGATACCGAAGGAGCGAAGACCGTACTACGAATCCACCGAGAAATACCGTAAAACCTTGAGATTGTCATCCGCACAAATAGTACGTGTACTTGTTGTTTTCGTTTCACACTGTGCACCTTCGTTTCGAATGAATTGTTCTTTTACAGGCGAGTCTGAATTTAAAAGAAGGACCCAACGAAGTTGTCTTTAGCGTTACCACAGCTTATCAAGGTACAACTCGTTGCAAATGTCACATTTATAAGTGGAGGTGGGACGATAAGATCGTCATCTCCGATATCGACGGAACCATTACGAAATCGGACGTGTTGGGTCATATTTTGCCAATCGTCGGCAAAGATTGGGCCCAATCCGGAGTGGCTCAGTTGTTCACGAAGATTAAAAACAACGGCTATAAGTTGCTCTACCTCTCGGCGAGAGCGATCGGGCAAGCCAGGGTTACCAGAGAATACCTGAAGAGCATCAAGCAAGGTGACCTGTCGTTGCCCGAGGGTCCGTTACTTCTCAATCCCACGAGCTTAATTTCGGCGTTCCATCGCGAAGTGATAGAGAAGAAACCCGAGGAATTCAAGATATCCTGTCTGAGCGACATTCAAGCGTTATTCCCAGAGGGCTCGAAGCCGTTCTATGCCGGTTACGGAAACCGAATCAATGTAACTATATTATACATTCCCTTGAACCTGTTTCTACCTGTTGACTGTATCGATTTCCTTGGCTGTGTCATTATTCGGTTCTCTTTTCGTTGTTTAGGATGTTTGGGCGTACAGAGCCGTAGGAATTCCTACGATGCGAATATTCACTATAAATCACAGAGGTGAACTGAAGCACGAATTGACACAGACATTCCAGTCCTCGTAAGTAACCATACGCTTTTACTTTGTTACTTTGTACTTTTGATATCCACTAATTTCTACGCATTGCCTATCGTTTGATTTGCCAAGGTACCAAGGTACCAAGGTATTATGTAATTTGAAAAGTAATACACGTTACAGTTGCGTTGAACACGATGCGACCTATCGTTCGAGTCTCCGATACGAAAATTTTCCGCGTTAGTTTGATGCTTGTCTGTACGGATTTTCCGTTGGTACATTTTTCTAGACGAACAGAATTCGAGTTGTTGTCGCATTTGTAAGGGAAGCCGCGTTTATAAGGTGATTTATCGAGGCAAAAAGTGTGTACTGATAGGACGGATATTTCTGTGATTACAGCTACGCGTGTCAGTGCGATATCGTCAATGAGTTGTTCCCGCCACTGGCCATACGAAACGTCTACTGATGGCGGCACAATCATAATTGTGTTATTCTATTGATCCATTTAGTCATGTTACGATAACGACGTCTCCGAAAACAGTATTATTCGTACCATTGGTTCGGAAGTCTATCCATCTCGTACGAGTCGACTAACTACATAGCTACCTCATTCCGGGAACATTAGATAGAACGATGTATTTTTGGAAACAGCGATATAGAGTTTAGTTTCTTAAAGAGTCGATTTCGGGAGAGAGAGAGAGAGAAAGAGAGAGAGAGAGAGAGAGAGTGTGTTGGTAGATGCATCGTGCCCTCGCGATATACTTTCTACACGTGTATGGATGTATGTTTGTAGATATATGTATCTCGTAGCAATACTTTGCGAAAGATATTACGCGTCGAGAAGAACACGAGTCAAAGTCCGCGTTAGACTAAAGTATAACGTTGTATTCGACAACGGCAAACTCGTTCAAGCCGAAACACCTTTAAATTTCTCACTCGCCTCGACATTTCAACGTCATTAGCGTATCGTACGATGTACTTGGTTATGCAAGAACATCCACCTGTCTTCTTACGATTTATAGGGTAAGCACTTAATGTTACGCAGTTGCTTCTTATCATCTCACGTTCACCGTCGGCCCCTTCACATACAACAGCCCTAACGCCGCCATTGCCTTAAGTGTTGCCAGCGCGCACTCGAAAGGAAACGATCGCCGCTTAACATTGCTCGAGATCGTTCGTGAAAGTAAATTAATCTTCCACGCGTCGCCGCGTCGGACATGCTCCCTTAAAAGAAGATGCAACGATCTTTATCGAGTACACGAAACGTGTGCCGAAAGACTCGTATTCTTCGTTTCGTTCCATCGAATATTCTCGGCAGACATTTCCGAAAAGCCATCACCTCGGGGACTTGACCTTTCGCATGGATGTTTTTACTGGACAAAACGAACGACCCGATAGTATCAACGCTTTCCTCCGAACCATTGAACGCTCGAAATCCCAGTAATTTATTTTGTTTGGGGGACATCAGCAGGTAGCCTAATCTAAAAGTCTCTAACGATTCTACCGTTGTGTGTATTTCAATGTTTGTATAACGTTGTGTTTGTGTCTCTTCTCCGAAATCCATTCCCTTGGTGTCCAGACCGTCCCTAAACAGAATGAAATACGCATTCCACCGTAACACACCCTCTTCTCTAACGAATAGTTTTTGATGTGTACCTTTCGTACCGTTTCCGCCTCCGTCTCATCGAACACGAACGACAACGACGACGAACGCGACATCGACGGTAAGCAGATGATTATTTGGATTCTCTTTTTTCAGATATTCGAACATGAGCTACATAGTCGATCATCTATTCCCGGCATGGAGAGTAGATGCTGCCGACGAGTTCAGTAATTTCGTGTACTGGCGGGACCCGATACCGGAACTGCCGTCATTGGAGGAACGTTATGCTCAAATTCGAACTGTCTACTAAGGATATATAGGACGTGTAGGTGTTTTACACTCGCGCAAAACGATAATTTGTTCGTAATAAGGAAACGATCGTCGGTATTTAGCTACGTTTTATACTCGTCCGTATAACATGTATCGTCGGCTATAGCGTCGTTGTCTGGTGAGACATTCGACATTTTTCTTGATGTGTTTGCAATGCGATTGTAGGCTTGGCATTCGACGTGTGTGTTCGGTACGCGATCGTGACAATTCTTGCTATCGATTCAACCGATTTACGAGTAACGAGTAACATTTCGTCTCGAGTATGTGTAATCGTCTGAAATCGATTCGATTTAATTACATTCCAATTCTGTTAGAATAGGAGAAGAATACTCGTCGATCGTAACTCGATTTCAAAGTACGGATTTTCGTGTGGAACGCGTTTGAAAATGATCGAATCGAATCGCTTGTATGCCACCGAAATATTGAGAATGGCGTTAAAGCTTGCGCGTAAACTGGTTCGTTAATGCGATTTGAAAAAGGATTACTATACACGCGCTTTTATCGTTCCTTCTTCTCTAGAAGCTCCGTTCCGTTTCAATCGAAATCGCGGCTGATGGAAGCTAGTAAGAATCTTTTAATCATAATTAGTCTACGACACGAGAGTCTGGTGTATTGTAATATAGTTTATACATCTATTTTAGTTGACCTTTATCGACCACTTTGTTTAAGAAATGTTTATTTATTTTTATACGAGATCTCTGTTGATTTAGAGTGCTGTGAGATTGCCATATTCTAGACTATACCTCGTTTTCGTATTGTGATATTTCACTGAAAATAGTGCTTGTCGAACGAACAGTCGGGGCAAACGCGGGAACCGTGTAAAACGATATTAAACGAGTTGGCCTTTTCTGCGAAAGAATCACTAGAACTCGACATAATGGACAAAGGGCGTGAGTGAGAGTGAGAGAGAGAGAGAGAGAGCAACGCCATTTACACACTTTACTTTAATCCTTTAGCTCGTATCGTTGAAGCAAACAAAAGTACAATTCTGTTTAACCAAAGAAGAGGCATCGAGTTGCTGATGGAAGTATTCTCAGTTTACTCAAAGGGAAAAGCTGTTGTAACGTAAAGGGACACAGTAGTGATCGGGTTATCGAACGAGACACGATACGCATCGCGTTTTATCGTTTCTTTCGAGACGGCTGATACTGTCGCGAGAATGGTATTTCTCTTGATTATTCGTGTACGTTAGTTATCGCTGTAAACAGTGTATATATATATAATTGAACGGTCGTTGTACATTATTTTACGAATATCGAATATTTCATTTTTAGTATTATTTTATCTATCCTGTTAATCGTGTTATGCATAGTACAAATATATTTAACTTTATTTATAGTTTCGTTTACATACCGATTTTTTATTGGATATTTTGTATGCTCTTCCGCAGGCGACAGTTTGAAATTGTCTACGAAATCGTTCCTGTGACACCTTTCTTATGTCGTACCGTCGAGTATTAATATTCTTGAAGAACAAACGAGTAGCCAAAACATAGAATTTCGAATGCTTCTTTCGCAATCGACGCGCAGATGTTACTTATCTAAATGCAAGTATTCGTAAGACGTATTTAGCTTGACGCTAGAACAGATTTCGACGTAACGAGAAGAAATTGTACTCCACGTGATCTCCAGTCGTTTAATTCACCGATTCGATTCGTTGTTTCGTTTTCGCGTTGAATAGCGGATAGCGTGCGTACCTACAGCTATCGGTGACCGCCGCGTGCAAGCGATAGCCACTCTGTTTAGCTAGTAATTTCTATACTTCTCTAGAACTGGTTTAACATTATCTGTTGCGATATTCACGATTAAACCTTTTATCTGTAGTAATCGTATACCTTGTACCCATCGATACAATAAATGACAAATTAATCGACCAATCACCGCCGAGTCGTCCAATTCAAATGCTGCCCGTTTTATTGTTCTGTCGTGTACAATCGTAAGTTCAGTTTCATCGCTGCGAGTTTATCGACGCTTTGCTCGGCCAACGAGTTTTCAGCTGGAATCAAATGCATCGGCAACGTGACGTTTAAACGAATCCACCTTGGATCCACCTTGATTTTACCTCGTGTTTTAGTCGTTCTACGTCGCGATTTTCCCTCTCTTCATCTTCAGATATATCCAAAGAATCGATGGCCATTGCGCTGCCCTTTCTATCGGAATTTACTTTAAAAATAGCTTTACCGTTCGTATTTTGCAAAGTTTCCGAACACCAGTAGAACAAGGTCTGCGCGTATGACGGTAAATCAATTGAAATTCACGCGGTCATGTCGTTGCACGTTTGATCAATGATACCACCACTTACCCATAATACTCCGAGTATCCAGAATATAGCAAAACATATCGGTATCAACATAGTTACGGGCGTGCAGATTTCAATAAAACTAACGATTTCCTTAGAAAAAAACATTACAGAATTTTAAGATAGAAGAATCCAATAGCTCATAACATGGCGTGTTTCGATTGTTTCCAAAAGTAATAAGCGGTAAACTTCGTGTCCTCCTGCAGAACTACACCACAGAGTGAACAATTTATTTTTGTGCACAATTATACAAAGTACATGTAACATATATACAAATTCATATAATTTTTCGTCGATGTAACGATACACATTTCACGTATCCTCTGTCTTTTCTATTTCATCTATCTCCATATTCTCCTCCATGTTTTCTTTAGAATGATCTTCAGTTACCAATTGCGTGTATCCGTTTTTCTTTGAAAATACTCCCAGTGGTGTTAATTTAAAAGTAGCCACTGGTTTACCCAGCAATTTCTAATGCAAAAGAATATATTAATATCGGTTGCCTGTTTAATTTAAAAAACAACATTTAAAGCTTACCAAAATTCTTGCTTGTTCAGGGCTCAACATTTGTCCTTTCTTACAAACCGTATACTCTTTGATCAATGTTACTACACCCTTCTGCAAAGCTGTAGGCATTCCCAGTTGTCTTAGATGAGGTTCTATGCTGTGAGGAAACTCTGGCATAGGTCCTTCGGGTAATGTAACCGTCTTGCTTACTACAAAACCGGATCTAGCATAGTCTGCTTCTTCGTAGGATTTCATCCATTTCAGAACCTAAAGACACAAAAACAAATGATTTGATAGATTTTCAATGTTTAACAATTACACAAGCACCAACTAAATGTTCACCTTCTTGGTAGGTCTGTTTGTGAATAGCAAGCCGCATTGTCCTCTTAACGCTAGAGATAATTTGTGGATGCCTTCCACTACTTCATCTTCCGGTGATTTGCCCAATGCCAATGCTATCAGTTTATTTTTACCAAAGAAAAATCGACTATCCTTCCATTCTCCTCTCAGATCTTTCAATTTGTTGTTGCGCATATTATCCACAGAGATGAGGAAAATCTCTGAATACTTTTCGACGCAATTTCTAACATCTTCGACGATTTGTTGCTTCAAGACGAGGCCTTTCTTACTTGTTTTTGTAAGCGATACTGTGAAATACAATTTTATCGATTACTTTATTGCACACACAAGTTTTCAACATACTACTAGGTTAGGTTAATAATGTCACGGTTACACGGAACAGATTAACGATAAAATTATGTTCAAGACCAGAAAAGACTTACTTTTTTTATCTCTCTTTGATTTAGGCATCTTGTTGCAAAAATATGTTGAATATCACGCGAAGAATTTTCATCGGCGAATCAATTTATCAGTCGGGTAAACATGTGCTATGGCAGCGCGCACAAAAGGAATGGCTCCCTACAAGCGGCTGAAATACCGGTTGAATTTTCATGAAAAAAGACGGTTTCGATCAACGATTACTTCGAATAAATACAAACATATGTTACCGCCTCTTTATTTATTTATCTATATCCATCTGCTATTATGTATCGATTACATATGTACATATGTACATTCATTTATCGATACATCAGGATGAAACGTGTCGGTTCGAGCTGTTATTTAATTGGGACTGATCGATACCATTTCCATATCCGAATATATATTTTCCCGAGTGTTCGTAATTCTAGAGAAAGAAATAGCAACGCGTAAGCGGGAATGAAAATAATTCGTGTAAGAAGAAATTGAAGAAGTGGCGGGAACGAGTCGATATTTTTCGAACCAGCGGAAAGTGTCAAGTGAACGCAGTTCAAGATGGCGGCTTCCGCTCGTTGCGCCAGTGCACTCTGTGAGATCGTAGTGGACGGGAGCCGTTGAATACGCCGAAGCCTCGATTTTCTAGGCCGCTTACAGCACTCAAAAGGTGAGTCTTTTTTCGTTATAGTCGTAGATGTGCTTGAAAGTCGGCGATACTGTCGAACGCGATGCTCCCGGAAGATATCAGTTGCAATTAATACGGAATGTATTCGACGACGAGCCGTGTGAACCCCGTAGCCTTACGATTAACCGATCATTGCCTAGGTCCCTCGAAATAACCTGTTTAATGAAACTCGTTCCGCTGAAACGTAGCGATTAAAGCCGTTCGATTCGACGTTGGGATACTATCCGGGCATCGCGTCGACCGTACGTGAAACGTATCGGTTCAGCAACGTTCGTCGGGTTTCCATGCGATAGAAGGTCATGCGAAGACAGTTGGTTGCCGCTCGTACGAATATACGCGATCGCGAGCGCGACGCACGCGATCGTACGCGCTAGCCGAAAACGTACAATTTTCTCGCCGCCATTTTAGTTGGGTAGCCGGCGACGGAATTCCTTTTCATTTTTCGGCCGTTCCGAAGATTGTCAAAGTACAGTTTCGATCGCTCGATTTCCCCGTTAACCTCCATATCGTATCGTCTCGTTCCCCGGCGCCTCGAGGTTCTTCTCGCTATCGCAGTTCGTCGTTCCGATAAATTCGGTTCGGTGCATGACTCGGGGGAAACGAAGATACGTCGCCGATCGAGCCGTTCTCGTCGCTTACGCCTCGAATCGCGATAAACGAGGAGTACGCGTTGCGGTTCTTCGCCGGGACGAGTCTCCGCGTTGCGGGAAGGGAGTACACGCCCTTTGACAAACGAACCGATCATCGAACTGTTCGATATCTCGTTGACGCGGCGAACGCGATAATTACGAACGGGATCCGCGCGAATCTACTCCGGAGATACACGAACGAAAGCGTTCGATTCTCTCGTCTGTTTTATCGAACGATTGCTCGTCCCTGTTCTACCGAACGTCGATAAGTAGAGCCTACGTCGTTTCTCTCTCGCCCGAATCGAGTAAATCTCGCGGCTGGATCGTTCGAAAGCTGTCAGCCGATCGAGACTCGCTCGCGTAACCGACCAACTAGGAATGCGTCGCGAAACTGGTCAAGGTTGCGAGATTTCTCACCTATTCGGCGATCGGTCACTGCGCGATCACGATCAGAAGCGAAAATAACGTTGATCGAGGAATTTTGCGGAAGGCAGAGGTTTGTACGCGGCAGGGGACCATGAACTCTCTTTCTCGCTCTTTCTCGCTCTTTTCCCTTACTCTTTCTCGGTCATCGAACAACTCGAGCTGTCGAGGTCTACTCTTTTCGCCAAGGCCGACG